GATTCCTAGGGATTCCTACGGCATCCTTAGGCATCCTTAGGAAACCTTAGAAATCCTTAGGAAACCTTAGGAATCCTTAGGAATCCTGATTCCTAGGGATTCCTAGGGAGTCCTAAGGATTCCCAGGGAATCCTAAGGATTCCAAAGGATTCCTGAGGATGCTTAACTATGCCTACGGATTCCTAAGGATGCCTACGGAACCCTAAGGATTTCTAGGGATTCCTAAGGATTCCTATGGATTCCTACGTCAGCCTGCCTCAGTTTCAGCCTCACCCTCAGCCTGCCTCGGCTTGCCTCAGCCTCAGCCTCAGCCTGCCTCGGCCTCAGCCTCAGCCTGCCTCAGCCTCAGCCTCAGCCTGCGTCAGCCTCAGCCTGCGTCAGCCTCAGCCTCAGCCTGCCTCAGCCTCAGCCTGCCTCAGCCTCAGCCTCAGCCTCAGCCTCAGCCTCAGCCTGCCTCGGCTTGCCTCAGCCTCAGCCTCAGCCTGCCTCGGCCTCAGCCTGCCTCGGCCTCAGCCTGCCTCAGCCTCCCCTCCTCCCCCCCCCTCCCCCCCCCCATTCAGCCTCACCTTGTCTCAGCTTCGGCCTGCCTCGGCCTCATCCTCAGCCTCAGCCTCCTCAGCCTCTCAGCCTCAGCCTGTCTCGGCCTGAGCCTGCCTCGGCCTCAGCCTCAGCCTGCCTCAGCCTCAGCCTGCCAGCCTCAGCCTCAGCCTGTCTCAGCCTCAGCCTGCCTCAGCATCAGCCTCAGCCTCAGCCTCAGCCTGCCTCGGCTTGCCTCGGACTCAGCCTCAACCTGCCTCGGCCTCAGCCTCAGCCTCAGCCTGCCTCAGCCTCAGCCTCAGCCTGCCTCAGCCTCAGCCTGCATGCCTCAGCCTCAGCCTCAGCCTCAGCCTGCCTCGGCTTGCCTCAGCCTCAGCCTCAGCCTGCCTCCTCAGCCTGCCTCGGCCTCCCCTCCTCCCCCCCCCCCCCGTTCCCCCCCGCCCCCCCATTCAGCCTCACCTTGTCTCAGCTTCGACCTGCCTCGGCCTCATCCTCAGCCTCAGCCTCAGTCTCATCCTCAGCCTGTCTCGGCCTGAGCCTGCCTCGGCAGCAGCCTGCCTCAGCCTCAGCCTCAGCCTGTCTCAGCCTCAGCCTGCCTCAGCATCAGCCTCAGCCTCAGCCTCAGCCTGCCTCGGCTTGCCTCGGACTCAGCCTCAGCCTCAGCCTCAGCCTCAGCCTCAGCCTCAGCCTCAGCCTCAGCCTGCCTCAGCTTCAGCCTCAGCTTCAGCCTGCCTCGGCTTGCCTCAGCCTGTCTCAGCTTGCCTCGGCCTCAGCCTCAGCCTCAGCCTGCCTCAGCCTCAGCGTCAGCCTCTCAGCCTCAGCCTGCATCAGCCTCAGCCTCAGCCTCAGCCTGCCTCAGCCTCAGTCTCAGCCTGCCTCAGCCCCCAGCCCTAGCCTGCCTCAGCCTCAGCCTCAGCCTGCCTCGGGGTGCCTCAGCCTCAGCCTCAGCCTGCCTCGGCCTCAGCCTGCCTCGGCCTCAGCCTGGCTCAGCTCGGGCATTCAAAATATGGCACAGGACTCGTGTTCTGGGAACACGAAGATCACGAAGAGGCCCACAGTTGGCTCTGGGCAATCAAAATATGGTACAGGAATGGTGTTCTGGGAACACGAAGAACACGAAGTGGCCTACAGTTGGCTCCGGGCATTCAAAATGTGGCCTGGGAATGGTGTTCTGGGAACACGAAGAACACGAAGTGGCCTACAGTTGGCTCCGTCCTAAGGAATCCTAAGGATTCCTAGGGATTCCTGCGGATTCCTAAGGATGCTTAACTATGCCTACGGATTCCTAAGGATGCCTACGGATTCCGAAGGGTTCCTAGGGATCCTAAGGATGGCTACGGATTCTTAAAGATTCCTATGGATTCCTATGGATTCCTATGGATGCCTGAGGATCCGGGCGATCAAAACATGGTACAGGAATGATGTTCTGGGAACACGAAAAACACGAAGTGGCCTACAGTTGGCTCCGGGCATTCAAAATGTGGTACAGGAATGGTGTTCTGGGAACACGAAGAACACAAAGTGGCCTACAGTTGGCTCCGGGCATTCAAAATGTGGCCTGCGAATTGTGTTCTGGGAACACGAAGAACACGAAGTGGCCTACAGTTGGCTCCAGGCATTCAAAATAGAGCATGGGAATGGTGTTCTGGGAAGATGAAGAACACGAAGTGGCCTACAGTTGGCTCCAGGCATTCGAAATGTGGCCTGGGAATGGTGTTCTGGAAACACGAAGAACATGAAGTGGCCTACAGTTGGCTCCGGGCATTCCAAATAAGGCTTGGGAATGGTATTCTGGGAAGACGAAAAACACGAAGCGGCCTAGAGTTGGCTCCGGGCAATCAAAATATTATACAGGAGTGGTGTTCTGGGAACACGAAGAACACGAAGTGGCCTACAGTTGGTTCAAAATGTGGCCTGGGAATGGTTTTCAGGGAATGGATCCCTAAGGATTCCTAAGAATTCCTGAGGACTCGTAAGGACTCCTGGAGCTGACCCTTTTGTCCGGTTCCTTGTCCAGATCCCGCCCAGACCCTCCTGGGGCGTCACGAGGCTCTCTTTTGATCCCACTAGAAACCTATCAGCAAAAGCTGTTAAGTAAAATATCGTCCAAGACGGTCCAAAATGGCCACGTCGGCCCAAGGTGGCCTCCAAGATGGTCCAAGATGGCCTCGAAGTCCGCCAAAGATGGTCCAAGATGGCCTCCAAGACGGCCCAGGAGGGCCCAAGATACCTCCAAGTTCACCCAAGAAGCCTCCAAGACGGCCCAAGACGACCCTCGAGGTCTCCAAGAGGTCCTCCAGGAGGTCCGAAGAAGCCAAAATCAGTTATTTGCCTGAGGTGTTGGAAGGATTTTGGCATGTGCCTCTTCGCGGCACTCCGACGGCCCATGACGGCCCACGAGGCCTCCAAGGGGGCCCCACGACAGCCAAAGAAGCCTCCAAGACGGCCCCAAAATGGCCCCAAGACGGTCCAAGTGACCTCCAACACGCCCAGGATGGCCCCCAAAACGGCCCCGAAGCGCCCCAACAGGACCCCAAGTCGGTTCAGAGAGGCCCCCAAGACGGCTCCCGACGGCCTCAAACGGGCCAGGAACGCCATAAGACGGCCAAAGGGGCCCCCGATAAGCCCCAACAGGGCCCCAAGAGGCCCCAACATGGCCTCCAAGGAGGTCCCCAAATGGCCCAATCGAGCCCAAGAGTGCCTCAAGAGGCTCCGAAGAATCATCCTCCCCCTTCTCTTTTTTCCTCCTCCTCCTCCTTTTCCGCTTCTTCCCCCACGTGTTCCCCGAAGGCTTTCCAAACCGACTCGGGGAACACATGGTCCGATAGCTTCGCCCCCCAAAATGCCTCCAAGACGGCCCAAAATGCCTCAAGACGGCCTAACATGGCGTCAATATTGCACAAGACGGCTCAAGAGGCCCCCAAAAAGACTCCAATGAGAAGCTCCCAGGCGGCCCCAAGTGTCCCCAGAGGCTCCCAAGATGCCCCCTCTTCCTCCTTTTCCTCCTCTTTTTCTTTCTCCCTTCTCCTCCACCTTTCCCTCCTCCACCTCCTCCTCCGCCTCCTCCGGATCCTCCCCGCCATCCTCCACCACGTGTTCCCCGAAGGGTTTCCACAACGGCTGGGGGAACACATGGTCCGACAGCTTGGAAGAGTTCTTGCCACAACACTCGGCCACATGGGCGATTCTGAAAGGCAGGGGACGGCGCTGATTCGCCGTAGGCGTCTTCGATACAATAGAGTTTCCCAAGATATAAAACAAAGAGGGTCGAACCGAAGAGAGCGCGTGCTGCTGCCATTTTCTCCGCCACCGTTTGTTCCGCGCGTTTCCTCTGCGTTGTTGTTCGCACACATCGTTTCAGCAGGCGCGCGCAACGTTGGGGACGAACGCCGAAGGCTGTGGTGGGTTGGAAATCGCTCGAAGCAAAATAACTGTGCGAATGAAGACACATGTAGAATGACAGGGCTGACTGCTGCATCAAATGTTGATATGTTGTCCCGTCCCCGGTGTCCATCACATCCATGATCCCACAAGGACCCGCAGAGGCCCGCGCAAAGGCCCCAGATACCCCAACAACACCATGGTTCCCAGCAGACACCAGCAATGCACAAGACTCCACAAAGAATTGTGACGCAAGCACATCTAGCACAAAGCTTTTCAGAGAGTGCGCCAAATCGGCGAGGTGTCAGCCCAAAGATGGCCAACACCTGGCCCCAAAGAGGCTTTCCAACAACCGCCAAACATATCCAACAACCGCCGAGAATCTCCTCACCCTCGTCATGCTCCTCCTTCTCCCCCTGCCCCTATTCCACTTCCCGATTCCTCCTCCTCCTCTTCCTCCTCATCCTCAACATCCTGCTACTCCTGCCCCTCCCCCCATCCGACCCCATCCACCTCATCATGACCCTTTTCCTCATCCTACTCCGTTGCCTCCACTCCCAATCCTCATCATCATCCTCACCGCTCGACGTCGTCGCCAGTCATGACCGTCATCGTGCGCTTCCGGCAGCAACGGAAGCGTCCCGGATCGGCGGCACTGGCCAGAGACCACTACAATATTGAACAAGAGAATAGAACCGAAGAGAGCGCGTTCGGCAGCCATTTTCTCCGCCACCGTTTGTTCCGTGCGTTTCCTCTGCGTTGTTGTTCGCACATATCGTTTCAGTAGGCGCGCGCACCATTGGGGACAAACGCCGAAGGCTGTGGTGGGTTGGAAATCGCTCGAAGCAAGATAACTATGCGGATGAGGACACATGTAGAATGGTAGGGCTGATTGCTGCATCAGAGATCCGAGAAGAGCGATTGATTTAACCTCGTCCCCCACCTCCTGGTTCCCTCCTCCACCGTACTTCAACTGGATGGCTAAAAAACACCGAATGCAACGTCTCAGGAGCCCATGGGATGGCGTAAGCCTCCAAGATACCAACTGACGCCCCTCGGAGCTGCCCCCCCCCCTGGCACGCCGTCGTAGGCACCGCGGTAGGTTCTGGAGTAGGCACCTGATCCACAGCCATTGTCTGAGAGCGTGAAGGGAAATCGGGGCCCTCCCCCACCCTGCTTTGAGGGGCAACGTCAGGGAGGGAATTGCTCAGAGGGGAACATCGACCTGGAATCGGCGATGCATCGCCGATAGATCGGCGATAGGCCACCGATAGCGAATCCGCACGCTCCTGGGCCGGGCGTCGGCGATCAACTGGCAATTGGGGGTCGATGAATCCCCCCCTAAGCCTATCCCCCCCCGAAGGTGGGCCGCTTCTAGTGGACCGGCTCCTCTTCCTGGGCCGTGCGGGCTTCCACTGGCCCAGGCCCATGAAAGCCTGGGTCTGTCAGGCTTTGCAAAACCCTGCAGGATTCTGCGGGATCCTGCGCGCTGACCCGGGTCAATTGCAGCCCTGGCTCTGCAAGATCCCACCCTATCCGGCGCCCTGGCTGACTCCCATTTGCATTGACTCCCGTCCCTTGAGCCCACAAAAGATGTACGCGCCAGACCACGTACATGAACACGGCCCCCCAATTCGCGAAACCGGCCGCGTGATACAGACGTTTGCGCAATGCGTGCTTTCGAAACCAGCGTGGACTCATGCACGTGCACGTCCTGCCTTCGCAGCGAAGGACTTTCGCTCCTGAGCACTGACCCCCGTCCCTTGAACCCCCAGCCGTTTGTTCACTGCCCTCGCTGGGCCCGAACATGGCCGACCCTGGCCGAGCACCCGGCGCCGTGGATTCTTGCCGCGGCGCGGGGGTGTCCGGGGCGGGCGGGCGGCGGCTCGCCGGGACGCAGCGGGACGTGCTGGTATCGGGCACCGTCCTCGGAGGCGCCCGTCCGAACCGAACATCTCTGGCAAGCGTCCTGTAGCACGGCTCGAGCGCGGGGTGAGGATGCACGGTAAGGCTGAACCGAAACGGTGTTTTTCCCTCGTTTTGTCTTCAATCCGCCTTTGCAGCAAAACGAAGTCGAACCGAAAACGGCCCACGGAACGCCAAAACACCGTTTAGGTCGAGCCCTGATGCACGGTAAGGGTGCAGGTAAGCTTCCCGAGCGGTATGGCTGGAGATCGCCCACCACTGAGCTGATGCTGGAAAATGTCTCGGCGCGCGCGTCGCCCCTGGAAGGGCGACGCACACATAGTAGAAACATGTTTGGTTGATACCGAGCTCGTAGGTCCTTTTACTATCCCTGATGGAAGAACTGCCTGTCAAAGAATACACCTGGCCAACCCTCTGACTAACCCTGGCCAGCCCCTGAGATCCGACGTCGCGAACAAAAAAGTCCAACATCGTGACAAAATCACGACCAAAGCCGTAAACCCAATGTTTCTCCTACATATTCGAACAGAATCAGAATGTGATGGTCTTGGGGCCAGAAACGAGGCGAAAACGTCCAGGGTGGACAAGTCCCACCAGTCCTTTGGGCTAATGCGGTCAAACGATGTCTCTTCTCCATTGACAACGCCCTCTTACCTTCGGGGAGGGGTACCCCCCCCTTACCTCCCTGAGATTTTTGTTGAGGGGGTGCGAGGTGCCAGGGCGTCCAAGATGGCCCAAGATGGCTCCAAGAGGGCCTCCGATGCTCTAAGATGGCCTCCAAGGCGACTCCATCTAGTCGGAGATGGTTCAAAATAGCTTTCGACAGGCATCCAAAAGGCCCGACGAAGGCCTCAGGACGCTTCCAAATGCTCCCAGAGCCCCCTCACGACCTCGCCTTTCCGCGTCCGATGCCCCGCAAGGCCCTGGGGAGGAAAAGGAATTTTCGGACCCCCCCTCCTTTTATCGACGTCCTACAAGATGGCCCCACGAGGGACCCCAAAGGGCCCCAAGACGGCCCCAAGACGACCCCAAGAGCGCCCCAAGAGCGTCCCAAGAGGGCCCTCAGAGGCGGTTTGCCTCCTCCTCATCCTCCTCCTCATCCTCCTCGTCTTCTTCCTCCTCCTCCTCCTCCTCCTCCTCCTCCTCCCTCCTCCCCTCGCCCCTTCGCGGACCCCAGAGACTGCTCGAAGAGGTCCTCCGAGGTCACCCCCCTTGCTCCTCCTCCCTCCTCCCTCCTCCCTCCTCCCTCCTCCCTCCTCCCTCCTCTCTCCTCCCTCCTCCATCCTCCCTCCTTGTTCATCCTGGTTGCCCGCTTTGTCTCACTATGCGTGTCCGTTCGTCCCTTTTCCCGTCAGCTCTCGTGGGCAGCGTTCCTGAACGGGCTGCTGGGGATGCGCGAAGCTTGAGGCATCGCAGCGCTCTCGGATCTCCGGGAGCCTTCCCGGCCACTCCCTCCAGCCAACCGTGATTATCGGGGGCGACGATGACGATGAGGGCGATTAGCCCAGTGGAGATCAATCCAAGTATCCAAAGGCGGCGATGGTATATGCCTTCAGCGAGGCTCCCGGGCGAATACGTGTATTGCACCCCCCTGGGCTGTTCGGCACTATCATCGCCTCCGAGCTGAGGGCCAATCTCCCCACAAGATACAGCAAGCGTACAGAGCGTGTCTTGTGAGCAGCCGGGCCGTCGTCGGAGATGCCATCGGGCTGGGCGTGGGCGTGGGCGTGGGCGCGGAAGTCGGGGCACGGGTGGTGCTGGATTCCTGGCAGGTATTCTGCACTAGAGGGAAGACATGAACATGCGCCGACCCCCTGTCGGTCCCTTGGCGTGTCAAAGTCGTCCTTCCGCCCAGGTCCCCCCCCGCCCCACCAGGGACCCCAAACGGCAGTTCGATCCCCCCCCCGGCCAGGGCCGAACGCGGCATGGGGGGATAGAGGGTTCCCCGACGACCCAACAGGGCTCCAAGACGCACCCAAGACGGTCCAAGAAGGCCCCGAGTCGCTGAAAGAGCGTTCCAAGACGCCTACGATGGGCTCCAAAAAGCCCAAGATGCCCCCAAGAAACCCCACAAGGCCTCGAAGAGGCCTCCCAAGATGGCCCCAAAGGGCAAAAATCGTCGCACTTTTAACATATACGACTCTTCCGCCTTCCTGGCGTTGAAGACGGCCCAAGAGTCCCCAAAGACTGCCGTCAGAGGCCCATAGGAGAGCCCCAAGACGGCCCAACAGGGCCCTAAGACAGCCCAAGATGCGCCCAAGACAGCCCAAGAGAGCCTCAAGACGGCCCCAAAAGGGGCGCAAGAGCGTAAGCCCGAACCGATAATTCGAGCTTTCCACCCCAAGATGCACCCAGGAAGCCTCAAGAGGCCCAAAAAGGCTCCAAGAGGCCCCCCCGGAGGCCCCCAAGACACCCAAGAGGCACCAAAACGAGCCCCAAGAGGCCTCACATAGATGGTCCTAGGGAAGTGGTCGGGAAGAGAGCCCCCAGATGGACCCAGAGGTCTCCACGACGGCCCACGAAGCTTCCAAAACAGCTCCACGAGAGGATCCAGACGGGAATGCCTCAACGGACATATCGAGCCCTCGACTTCGAGCGGGTTCCGATCGAGTTTCAGGAGGCCCCAAAAACCCCGCAAAGGCCCCCAAGAGGACCGAAGAGTCACCCACGACTCTTCTAGGCTCCCACTAGACTCCCAAGGACCACTCCATAGCTCCCCCAAAGAGCATCCTGGACCCTCCGACGTGACCCCAAGAAGCTGTCCTGAAGACTCTGACCCACAACCCAGAAACCGTGGCGGGATGGGCCGAAGGCCACTCGATACTTGACGGTGTCGGAGCCCGCACAAAGCCTTCTCCTCGCCCTCCTCATGTTCCTCCCTCTCCCCCGTCCTCCTCCTCCTCCTCCTCCTCCTCCTCCTCCTCCTCCTTTTCCGCATTCTCCTTCTCATGATCGTCGCCCTCCCTCTTGTGTTATCCTCCAGGTCCTTCTTCCACGGCTTCGGTACGTGTAGCGACATTGCAGAGTCCATCCCCAAAGTCGTCACTCGAACGGGCTTCCCTTCCAGGACTGAAGGGGTCGGCGGATGTGGCGCAAGACGCAAGAATCCACGTCCGGAAGTGACGTGTTGCCGGAGGCAGGTCGCGCAGCCGAGCGGAAGCCCTAATGCAACGTATCCTATGTATCCAATGATTGCATAATTGCTTGGTATTGCAGTGTATTACATTATTATGTCTCCCCCCTAACCCCCCCGCCCCAAGCCACGCCACATCCACCGACCCAAAGGTGGTGGACCCCTCCTGGGCTTCAACACCAACAAAAACCTACGGGAAACCGATGATTCGGGCCCCTTGGGCATCTTGGGGGTCTACGCCGACGTCAAGACGGCTCAAGATGGCCCCAAAACGGGCCAAGACGGCCCCAAGACGGCCCACGATGGCTCCAAAATGGCCCAAGAAGCTCCCAAGACGGCCCAAGAGGGCCCCAAGAACGCCCACAAGAGCGCCTCCAGAGGCCAAAAATTGCGATTTTCCTATAGGTTTTGAACGATTTCAGCGTTCTCGCCTTTTCCGGCTCTGACAAGCCCATGACGGCCCAAGCAGCCTCCAAAATGGCCCCACAAAGACTCGAGAAGCACCGAATGGAGGCCCGAAGACGCCCTCAGAGGGCCCCAAGACGGCCAGAAGAGGCCCCCAAGACGGTCCAAGAGGCCCCCAAGACGGCCAACGAGGACCCCAACAGAGCCCCAAGGCGGCCGCGAGGGGCCTCCAAGATGGCCTCCGAAGGGGCCAGACGGCGTAAGAGCGCCTCACGACGGCCCAAAACGTCTCCAGGAGGCCCCAAGAGGCCCCAAAGAAGCCCCAAAGAGGCCCCAAGAGGACCCCAAGAGGCTCCCAAGAGGCCCCCAAGGCTGCCACGAGGCACAAGAACGACTGGACTGTACATGCTCCGGACGTGCACCCCGCGAGGCGAGAGTAATCCACGTCCAGAAGTGACGTGTTTGTTGCCGGAGGCAGGTCTCGCAGCGGAGGCAACGTATCCGATGTATCCAATGATTGTATAATTGCTTGGTATTGCAATGCATTACTCCCCCCTAACCCCCCTGCACCAGGCCACGCCACATCCACCGACCCAAAGGTGGTGGACCCCTCCTGGGCTTCAACACCAGCAAAAACCTACGGGAAACCGATGATTCGGGCCCCTTGGGCATCTTAGGGGTCTACGCCGACGTCAAGACGGCTCAAGATGGCCCCAAGACGGGCCAAGACGGCCCCAAGACGGCCCAAGATGGCCCCAAGATGGCCCAAGAAGCTCCCAAGACGGCCCAAGAGGGCCCCAAGAACGCCCGCAAGAGCGCCTCCAGAGGCCAAAAATTGTAATTTTCCTATAGGTTTTGAACGATTTCAGCGTTCTCGCCTTTTTCGGCTCTGACAAGCCCATGACGGCCCAAGCGGCCTCCAAAACGGCCCCACAAAGACTCGAGAAGCACCGAATGGAGGCCCCAAGACGCCCTCAGAGGGCCCCAAGACGGCCAGAAGAGGCCCCCAAGACGGTCCAAGAGGCCCCCAAGACGGCCAACGAGGACCCCAAAAGAGCCCCAAGGCGGCCGCGAGGGGCCTCCAAGATGGCCTCCGAAGGGGCCAGACGGCGTAAGAGCGCCTCACGACGGCCCAAAACGTCTCCAGGAGGCCCCAAGAGGCCCCGAAGAAGCCCCAAAGAGGCCCCAAGAGGACCCCAAGAGGCTCCCAAGAGGCCCCCAAGGCTGCCACGAGGCACAAGAACGACTGGACTGTACGTGCTCCGGACGTGCACCCCGCGAAGCGAGAGGAATCCACGTCCGGAAGTGACGTGTTGCCGGAGGCAGGTCGCGCAGCGGAGCGGAAGCCCTTAATGCAACGTATCCTATGTATCCAATGATTGTATAATTGCTTGGTATTGCAGTGAATTACATTATTATGTCTCCCCCCCTAACCCCCCTGCACCAGGCCACGCCACATCCACCGACCCAAAGGTGGTGGACCCCTCCTGGGCTTCAACACCAACAAAAACATACGGAAAACCGATGATTCGGGCCCCTTGGGCATCTTGGGGGTCTACGCCGACGTCAAGACGGCTCAAGATGGCCCCAAGACGGGCCAAGACGGCCCCAAGACGGCCCAAGATGGCCCCAAGATGGCCCAAGAAGCTCCCAAGACGGCCCAAGAGGGCCCCAATAACGCCCGCAAGAGCGCCTCCAGAGGCCAAAAATTGCAATTTTCCTATAGGTTTTGAACGATTTCAGCGTTCTCGCCTTTTTCGGCTCTGACAAGCCCATGACGGCCCAAGCAGCCTCCAAAACGGCCCCACAAAGACTCGAGAAGCACCCAGTGGGGGCCCGAAGACGCCCTCAGAGGGCCCCAAGACGGCCAGAAGAGGCCCCCAAGACGGTCCAAGAGGCCCCCAAGACGGCCAACGAGGACCCCAACAGAGCCCCAAGGCGGCCGCGAGGGGCCTCCAAGATGGCCTCCGAAGGGGCCAGACGGCGTAAGAGCGCCTCACGACGGCCCAAAACGTCTCCAGGAAGCCCCAAGAGGCCCCGAAGAAGCCCCAAAGAGGCCCCAAGAGGACCCCAAGAGGCTCCCAAGAGGCCCCCAAAGCTGCCACGAGGCACAAGAACGACTGGACTGTACGTGCTCCGGACATGCACCCCGCGAAGCGAGAGGAATCAACTTCCGCAGATCGGCGCAGACTTATTGGATCGGCACTGGACCAACCTCGCTGGCACATAAGCATAAACTCAAAACTAGAACTAAGACATAAACTTTCGAAGCTCCGCCCGGATTTATTGTAGATCGGCGCTTGACCCCCCTCCCTGGCGCGCGGCAGGGGCGGCGCAAGAGGCGCCGCCGGGGGAGGGCCAGCGCCGACCCAAGAAATCCGCGCAGACCTCCCACAGGTCATGTTTACACGTCGGTCGGAAGAAGTCGTTGAAAGCATGAAGTAGGAAGGCGGATGAAGTAGGTTTGGTTCAGGCCCTCCCAGAGAACAACAAAACACAGCAAAAGTGCATTGACCCTTGAAGTAGGAAGGCGCCTGAAGATTGGGATCTGGAAATCCAAAAACCATACCGACTTTCATCGACGGACGGGTATGCCATATCCCTGATAGCGTTTGGCTAGAAGGCCGAATAGTGGTAGCAAGAGATTTGGTGACCCAAAAGGGGGTCCAGCTGGAAGGGGGTGGTACAATAGATTTGGGGCAAGTGTCTTGCAAGTGTACTGCGCCGGAGCATTGAGTTGCATTGTATTGCAAGTAATGCATCGCACGCGAAAATACAGCAATACATTTGGGCGCCGGAATGTATTGCACGCCCACAATCCCTTGCAACCCCACAAAACTATTGCACCAAATCTATTGCACCACCCCCGTGTCGCTGGACCCCCCTCCGGGTCGACCCGAAAAAGGACCACAGAAGAGTCCCGCGGGGAAAGCGGAGAGCCCGAGGACGCCAGGTCCTGCAGCCATGTCGCCCGAGACTTCCTCGATGGATCCGGGCATCGCGCCCTCGCCACGCGCAGGCTACATGTTTGGTCCAGACGGCAACGACCCTGGGCGCAAAGTACACTGCGGAACACATGGCCAGGCTCTCACCCCTCCACCTCCTCCTCCTCCTCATGCCTCCTCCTCCTCCTCCTCCTCCTCCTCCTCCTCCTCTTGCCTCCTCCTGCCTCCTCCTCCTCCTACCTCCTCCTGCTCCTCCTCGTCCTCGTCCTCCTCTTCCTTCTTCTTCTCCTCCTCCTATTGTCCCAGCTGCATCTTCGCTAGGCATCCATAGAAATGCCTACTTGCAGAAATGCATGTTGTCACTAGCCGACCGTCTACTCCTCGACCCGCCTCTTCACCTTTGCTGCTTTTAGTGTGCTTTGCTGGGGTCATACGTATGCTATGTTCTGCTCTCGATGTGCCCCCGTCCGCGATCATTGAGAGACGAGCACAAGAACAAAGGATCGGTACAGCCGCTTGATCGAACCATCGGGTACACGGGCCGAGGGGTATGAACAATCCGACCTGGGATGAAGGCCCCACCAGGCCGGCAGGGTCGTTGTGTTGAGGTTGTTTTGATAACCCTGGCAGGACACTGGATCTCTCTGCTCCGCCTCTGGCCCCATCGTCGACGATGCTTGTTCGATGCTGCACCGTTTGCATTTTGGCCCCGAAGAGCCCTTAGTAGGCGAAACGCGTAGCCTCCGCTTGAGGCTCGATCACAAAGAAATGCCAGACATCCCCAGGACGAAACCCGCACAAGCGCACCAGATCCCATGGAGAGTGTAAATCTGCCAGCGTAGGTTCGGTGATACATGCTCGTCGGAATTCCGAAAATCGGGCACCTGAAACTTGTCGGTCCGACATGGCTTGCAGTTGCGTGTTCCAATGTGACCAGGTTGTCTTGCCTGTGTGAATCAGGCAGCTTGTGCTTGACAGCTCGCGCGAATTTCTGCTGGCGTGAGTTCGCCAGAGGGTGAACGTTGACGACGCTTCCTAGATTTGTGTGTGTGATGATATGCCGCGGGACAAAACATGCGACTTCCCAACCCCAATCCTGTTCCATGCCCTCTCTCCTCGACGCCCTACTGATTCTTCGTTTCATCGTCCTCGCCTGTCTTCCCTCATTAAACGGATGAAAGGTAAATCTCATGCAGGGACGTGACATAGGCATGCTTCTGATCCAAATGACGTCTGTTCACGCTGACATTTGACTGCCCACAGAATCCCTTCAATATGTAGAAAAGCGGTGAACTGAGGGTCACTGAGGGCTTCAGAGTCAACGGCGGAGGTCGACGAGCTGAGCCTGTATTGGGCGACCTTGACATCCAACGTCGCGAAAAAAACAACGCAGAGAATCACGCCTGGAACCCTACACCACATCTTTCTGAAACAATTTTCGATCTGGATCGATCTCTGATGCCCCCAGGCCCAAAACTGGACGAAAACACCCGTTGTCAAAAAATTGCAACGCCCAGATCTGAGGGTAGCCTGCGTCCCAAGGACCACCTGATCGTGCCAGAACAGGCGCTCGGACGCAACCGTGAGCCCGATCGGCGCCATCTCCTCCTCCCTCCTCTCCCTTCTACTCCTCCTCTATCCTTCTCGTCCTCCTCCCCTCCTCCCCCCTCCCTCCCTCCCTCCCTCACTCTCCTCCTCCTCCTCCTCACCGAACTTCGCGCGAGCTCCCTGAAGCGGGGCATTGTCCGCCCCAAACCGAGAAGCGCAGTTATCCTGGTGCGCCGGTGGGCGACTTAACAGATCGACACACCTGTACAGCGACTGTCTAGACAGCGTCAGTCCCTGCTCCCCATCCTTTTCTTCCGCCCCGTATCCCCCTTCTCCCAGGTCCAGTGTCGGCAGGTACGTCATTCCTGTGCTGTGGTCAGTCCACGATGACGTCCCAAATTCAGCCCGAAGCAAGCCAACGTTGTCCACATTGATACTCTTACAAAACCCACCTACCACAGCGGAGTCGTAAAAATATCCCATGCCATCCGTAAGGGTCGCCTTGAACTCGTCAACATTGCAAGGATTCTGTCCAGGGTCGTTGTACCAGTGCGATGTCCCCCAACCAGCGTACTCGACAGATTGTGCCTGAGCGACGCGCGTGACGCACGAAACATGCCAACCAACCCATGGTACATGCCGCATCGCGACACACCATGTGCGCCAGCATGGCGACGAGATCTACTCACATCAACGTCACCATGCCCCGGCCCATCCTGGGCCCAGGAGCAGTGTGTGAGCCCTCCAGGCATGACCAGGAAAACAGATGCACCGCTCTCGGGCCCAGGATGGGCCAGGCCTGGGGCAGCGGATACGTCTATACCTCGCTGCCCCAGCACGAGCGACGGGCCACTGCCACAGGGCAGCGGTGCTGCAGCAGGGGCAGGCGAACAGATGGCACACGGCGCACGCGAAGCGCAAGGCAATCATACACCCGCCGCCGCGCTCTGCAGGGGCTGGCGTGTCTGGAGGAACAGGAAACATGATAAACATTGACTTTAGGAGGTCCGAGCGGATTGGTCGTATCGGCGCTGGGCCCCCTGAGGGGAGCCCTGGGAGCTCGGAGCCATTTGGGAACCCCCGTTGGACCTCCCTGGGCCTCGCGGGGGGGCGCTCTGGGTGCCCTGGGGGCCTTCCTGGATATCCTGGGCACACCCCTCGGAGAAGAAAAACTGCATAAACATGAACGTTCGGAGCGCCGCCCGGATTTCTAGTAGATCGGCACTTGAACCCCCTCCCTGGCGCGCGGAGCGCACCAGGGGCGGCGCCGGAAGCGCGGCCAGGTCGGCACAGCGCCGGTCCGAGAAATCCGCAAGAAGCTCCGAGAGACGTTCATGCAGAGGTTCTTCGAGTGTCGGGCCCATTGCTTTCCGTTGGCGCCGCTTCCTGCGGGGCAACAGGCAGGCCCCCCTGCCCGACGGACCCCACGTGCGTACACCTGCTGCTCCAAATCTCCGCATCCCTTTGGCCTTCCGCACGAGAAGCATACCCCCGAGGCCCAGTTTGCGGCGGGACCTCTCGTGGGGGGGGGGGGCCGCCGTTGGACCCCGCGGGGCGCCGTGTGCCAGGGCGTCGGGCTGGGCGTGGGCGCGGGCGTCGGCGAGGGCGTGGGCGCGGACGTCGGGCTCGCGGTCGGGGACGGCGTCGGGCTGAGCGTGGCCATGCCGGGGCTGCTCGGCGTCAGGGGGAGGAACGTCTTTCCTCGGATAAGGGAAGCAGGAGTCGGCCTAGGCATAAACTTGGGCTGCTCCGCGCGGGTTTCTTGGATCGGTTCTGGTCACCCCCTGGCGGAGCCTCTGGCGCCGCCCCTGGCGCGCTCCGCGCGCCAATGAGGGGGGTCAAGCGCTGATCCAAGAAATCCGCGCGGAGCTCCGAACGTTTATGTTTATGCCGTTGTTTCCTTCGACTTAGATAAGCAGCAAGCGAACCTGCCTCGCGTCTGACCACCCTCGTTTCCAAACGGGAGCCAGACGAAACCAAGCTACCCGTGAGGTGGCCCACAACGGTCTGGCTGCTTGACGAGGAGGCGTGTGGTATGACTCAGTCTCGCTTGGAAGCGAAAGCGGGGTAGGCACTCCACCCTGGGATGAGAGAAATCGAACTCCCCACAAAGCACCCTCATAGCAGCCCTCATAGCAACAAAGGAGAACAGACGGGTCGATGCGTAGGTCGGCGAGTGAAATCATGCATTCCTGTGAATTCCGAGGGACTGCTGGGAAACGCACGAAGTGCGGTAGGTAGTTCGTTAGGGTCCGATCGAACCAAAGTTCGGCCGCCATGCGGAGCACGGACTGGGACTGGAAAAAACGAGCAATCAGGCATCGTTGCATGAGGAGAGGGACGAGGAGGAGAACGACAGAGGAGGAAGTACGGGACTCTGAAATCGTGATACCTCGTGGCTCCCTCCTCCCCGAAGAGGGCTTGCTTAGTTCTGGTCGCTGCAGTCCGGCGGAAGCCACTCGGCCGCTTGACGTGCGAGTCTCGGCCACGACTGTGTTTTGGCCCGATAAACTTCCATTTCCTGTCGCGCACCACCTGACTGCAGTTGCCCAAGGGGTAGATGTCCCAGGCTGCGTTCAGCCGGGGCTTACTTCTACGTTAGAAGCGTACGCAGGCACGGAGTTCTGACAACACGAAGAGCCAGAAGTGCGGCAGTGCGTGCTCTTCTGGGTAAGACTCATGCGCGGGAGGAGTGGAGTTCTGTCTACATTATGAAATCGAGTAAGGGATCGACTACAGAATTGATTCACCCACACTTGATTGGACCGTCGAATCTATCAAAAATGCATTGAATGCTCCGTAGATCTACGAAGCATTCTACGCACGTCCTCAGATCTGACGGGGGAATCAAGTTGGAGGTAGATCAACGCTGCAGTCGATCTCACACTCGGAGAAAGGAAGAACACGGAGAGCACGGCCATGTGCACCTTAGCGTTAGGTCGGACATGTCCCCCTACAGGCGGATTTTGGATGAGAAAAATTGCACAAAAACAAATTTGAAATATTCAGATATGGTCAAAATGGTCCAGAAATCACCCCCCCAGACTATTTTCCCTATTGTTGAATATTCCTTCTGTAGAGGGACACGCCCGATTTAATCTTAGCGTATTCTTCACCAGGGAACGTGGCCGTCTGTGAGCATCGTTTAACCGATCCCTATCCCCACAGGCGTGGCCTGGGCCCCACTGTCCGATTTACCACCCTAGATGGAGATATAGGCGGCTCCCTTCGGGCTTCGAGGGGCACATCCCCAACTAGGGTAGTGGGATGATGGGGATCGGGATGGGGATGGGAATAGGGATAGGGAGGAGGAGGAGGAGGAGGAGAAGGAGGAGGACGAGGACAAGGACAAGGAGGAGGAGGAGGAGAAGGAGGAGGATGAGGAGGAGGAGAGGAGGAGGAGGGGAGGGGGAGGAGGAGGAGGAGGGAGAGGAAGGAGGAGGAGAGGAGGAGGGAGGAGGAGGAGGGAGGAGGAGGAGCGGAGGAGGAGGAGGAGTGGAGGACGAGGGAGGAGGAGGAGGAGGTGGAGGAGGACGAGGAGGAGGAGGACCGATACTGAGTCTGGACAAATATGCAGCCAGCAGCAAGGCGAGAGCACGATGCCTGCATCCGCCGATGCCCCCGCCTGCCGACGCGCTCCTCGGCGCACCCCGGGAGGCCCTCCGGAGCCCCCGAGGAGGCCCTCGGGAGATCCCACGAGGCATGCTTTTCCTCCTCCTCCTCCTCCTCCTCCTCCTCCTTCTCCTCCTCCTCCTCCTCCAGAAAGCCCCAAGATGGCCCACGAGGCCCCAGGCAGAGCGCCGAGACGTTCCAACAGAGCGTCGAGATGGCCTCGGACAACCCCGCGACGGTCCAAGATGGCTTCAAGACCGCCCACGAAGCCCGACGGCGCCAGTGCTCCCAGAGGAACGCCGAGAGGGCCACAAGACGCAAAACTCGCCCCCTTCCATTTTTTGAGAAACATGCATGTTCGACACACTCGCCTTTCTCGTCTGGACAGCGTCCAATACAGCCCAAGGGGCCCACAAGATCGACCCAAGACGGCCCATGAAACCCCAAAGAGGAGGGCCCGAGAACATCCCAATACAGCCCCAAGAGGGCCCAAGAGGGCCCCAAGACGGCCCCAGGGGCCGTTAGACCGCCCACGAGGGCCCCAAGAAAGGCCCAAGAGGGATAATAGAACTGACATCTCGAGCCTTTCCCCCCCCGTGGCCCCAGAAGCCCTCCAAAGACCCCCAAGGCGCCCCCGAGAGGCCATCAAGAGACTCTAAGAGGGCCTCCAGGAGGCTCCCACAAGGCGCACAAGAGGCCCCAAAGAGACTCCAAGAGGCCACCCAGAGGTTTCCAAAAGGCCCCCAAGAGGCCCCAAAAAGTCAACGAGAAGCTTTCAAAAGCCCTTTAAGGGGCACCTGAGAGTTGAACCCTCGCGAGCGTGGCAAAAACACCCAGCATCTCCAGCTCCAACATAGCCTACTGAACGCCCTGGAGCGCGTTTCTTTGTTTTCGGCGACAATGAGCTTCATGGGGGGGGAGGGGGCCCGGGGCGGGGTACAATGTAACGCCGCCCCCCCGCCGTGTGGCGCCGGCCGGCACCACAGCCGCGCTCGCGCGCGCGACGACGATGAGCGGCGAGCGACGAACGACGACGACGACGACGACGACGACGACGACGACGACGACGACGACGACGACGTCCACGACGAAGACGACGACGACGACGACGACGACGACGCGAGCAGCATGTAGGTGGCGACCTGCCCCACAGCGCCTGGAAACACGCTCCCGGAATGGCGTAAGCCACTTGAACGAACTGTGCGGGCGGCTCGGGCGAAACGGCTACCAGACTGGGCGGTCTAGGGCTCCCCGCCCACCTGCGAGACTCTGCTACGGTCCCTTCCTACCTCCATTAGAACTTGGCGGCGCGCACAATGGGGTAGAGGGAGGGGGGAGTGCTTCGTAGAAGGAGGCTGCTTCTTAGAAGGCGCCGACCTTACATCTATAGATGGAGCCCGCGCCTTCTAAGAAGCAGGGGTGCTTCTAAGAAGCCCTCACCCCTCCCCCCCTCCCCCTCTGCGCGTGGCTGAAGAACATCTGGCGAAACGCCATCAACGAGAAAAAACGCGTGCATCAACTGTCGGAGCTCCGCGCAAGTTCCCTGCACCAGCGCTGACCCCCCCTCCCCGGCGCGCGGCGCGCGAAGCGCGCCAGGGGCGGCGCCAGAGGCGCCGCCAGGGGAGCCCAACGCCGATCCGAGAGGTCCGCGCGAAGCTCCGAAAGTTTGTGATTATGAAGCTGTATCGAAGTCAAAAAACCCAAATAACCACCCCGACACGCGAAGTCGTTTAGTAAACGCGCCCATAGAAGGAATCGAACAGGGCATAGTAAACGCCAATTGTCCAGTCCGGGTGGTTAGTCCTCCCTTGACTGTAGCCCCGCCCTTCCCATCGAGAACATAATCTTTCGAGGGCTCACGCGCATTTCTTGGAGCTGTGCAGCGCCCCCTCCCGCACGCGCACGGAGCGCTCCAGGGGCGGCGCCAGAAGCGCCGCCGAGAGGGGTCCAGCGCAGACCCAAGAAGTCCGCGCGGAGCTCCGAAAGTTTGTTTATGCAGTTGTTTAACGAGGGTCAATCCGACCCGGGTCAGCAGGAAACCAAAAAAGTGCAATGCAGGGGGGAAAAAAAAAACTGCAAAGCAGGGCTTGGCAAATCCGGGTCACCCAGTATGCGCGGCCGCCTCGCGGCCACGAGCGGCTCGCTAACCCGGGTCAGCCAGAGGAGGTCTTCGCAGGATCTTGCAGGATCCAGTGCCCTGGCTGAGCCCCGTTCGCATTGACCCCCGTCTCTTAGGCTCCGAGTTTACTCTTCGGTTCCTGTGCCGGTGCTGGTCCACGCCGACGTGAACAGCTCGTGCTGGAGCAAGTCGACCTTGCCCGCGTCGATACTTCTGCACAACCCGCCCGGCACGCCAGAGTCATAGTAGTAGCCCATGCCAGCCGCAAGTGTTGCAACAAAGTCGCCCTCGTTGCAAGGGAACACCATTGGGTCATTGTAAGCAGACACGGTACCCCAACCGGTGTACTCGACCCATGACTCCTAAAGGTTGCGCGAAACGCACGCGAAACGACACAAAACCCTGGCACGGGCCGCATAACGACACACCAATGTGTCAAGCTGAGTGGCAATAGAAGAAAGGAAAACGCCATGAACACAAATTTTTGGCGCTCCGCGCGGATTTCTTGGACCTGGGCTGGAACCTCCCTTCCTGGCGCGCGCGGAGCGCGCCAGGAGCGGCGCTGGCGGCGCCGCCAGGGGGGGCCCAGCAAAGATCCACGAAACCCGCGCGGAGCGTCGAAAGAATGCTTATGGCGTTTTTTCTTCGGCGCTTCGACATTGGGAGGAAAGGAGGGGGGGAAGGGGATGGGTTTGGCTCCGGACCTCTGCATAGTATGACTCTTTGCAGCAGTGCGTCCTATAAGGGAAAAACTCCACCTGCTTGAAACAGGCGCCAGAAACGGCCAGGATCCACTCCAGCGGGGGGGAGGGGGAGGGGGTGCGAAGGCCCGCGCCGATCGGCAACACAACGAATAAAAAACGATCACCTTCGAGGCAAGACGGAACATGACATGACACCATCACAGAGCGATGGCACAGCAGCACGGGCTTGCGGGCCGGGGGCGCAGCGCGCACGAGCGGGTAACCCTCACCCCGCGCAAAGCCCTTCTGGGCGCAGGCGGCTTCGAACTCCTCAGGCTTAAGTCGGGCCTGTCCCTCTACAGGAGGAATTTCCAAAAATAGACCAAAAATAGTCTGGGGATGATTTTTCTTCATGTGTTGACTACTCTGGAATATTTTGGACTATGTTGCATTTTTCTCCAAAAATCCGCCTGTAGGGGGACATGCCCGACCTAATCTTAGGCTGTGAAGAAGACTGACCTGCACACCCTGGCAAACCATCACAGGGGATATGTCGGCCCCTGTCCCAGGCTTCGTGGGGTTTCCGAGCGGACCAAAAATCTGGGGCCCAGCCCTGGAATATACGGGGGGGGGCGTCCATCCTCGATGGGGGTGCGTCCGCATAGCCCCCTTGGGGTATATCTATCCCAAGCGTTTGCTCCTTTTCTGAACGGCATGTTTCTAGAGGGGGGGAATCCACCCCCATAATGATCACCCCGTCAAGCGAATCCGTTTAGTAAACGAACCCAAGGAAGGAATCGAACAGGGCAAAGCTGCTTTGTAAACGCCGTTCAGTAAACGTCGATTGTTAGGTCCGGGTGGTTCTTACCTCCTTGATTCTCGTCGCAAGGTCAGGGGCTGGGGGAGAAAAATCGCCTGTGGCTGCACACCCTGCCACACCTACCGGAAAAGGAGCAAAAATAGCCTGGCGAAGGACCCAACCATATGCAGTTGTGAATGCCGCAATTGTGCTGGGTGGTGGCGGACGCATGCGGGCGGTGCCACTGGGACCTTCGGTGGAGCTCCCTATGGGGCCACGAAACGCTGTACTGGGTGGGTGAGACGCGGTCAGCAAGGGCTGTGCTGCGTGGTGGCGGACGCATGCGAGCGGTGCCACTGGGACCTTCGGTGGAGCTCCCTATGGGGCCACGAAACGCTGTACTGGGTGGGTGAAACGCAGGCAGGGAGCAAGGGCTGCGCAGGGTGGTGGCGGACGCATGCGGGCGGTGCCGCTGGGACCTTTGGTGGAGCTCCCTATAGGGCTACGAAGCGCTGTTCTGGGTGGGTGAAGCGCAGGGAACAAGGGCTGTGCTGGGTGGTGGCGGACGCAAGCGGGCAGTGCCACTGGGACCTTTGGTGGAGCCCCCTATGGGGCCACGAAACGTGCGAGGGGTGTGCCAGAATGGGGTGTGGAACCGCATGCCAGCGCAGCCACTGGGGCCTTCGGTGGAGCTCCCTATGGAGCCACGAAACGTGTGAGGGGTGTGCCGAAATGGGGGGTGGAACCGCATGCGAGCGCAGCCACTGCGGCGTTCGGTGGAGCTCCCTATGGGGCCACGAGACGTGTGAAGGGCGTGCCGAAAAAGGGGGTGGAACCGCATGCGAGCGCAGCCACTGGGGCCTTCGGTGGAGCTCTCTATGGGGCCACGAACCGTGTGAGGGGTGTGCCGAAATGGGGGGGGAACCACATGCGAGCGCAGCCACTGGGGCGTTCGGTGGAGCTCCCCATGGAGCCACCCACGAAGCGTGTGAGGGGTGTGCCGGAATGTGGGGTGGAACCGCATGCGGGCGCAGCCACTGGGGCCTTCGGTGGAGCTCCCTATGGGGCCACGAAACGTGTGAGGGGTGTGCCAGAATGGGGGGTGGAACCGCATGCGGGCGCAGCCACTGGGGCCTTCGGTGGAGCTCCCTATGGGGCCACGAAACGTGTGAGGGGTGTGCCAGAATGAGGGGTGGAACCGCATGCGGGCGCAGCCACTGGGGCCTTCGGTGGAGCTCCCTATGGGGCCACGAAACGTGTGAGGGGTGTGCCAGAATGGGGGGTGGAACCGCATGCGGGCGCAGCCACTGGGGCCTTCGGTGGAGCTCCCTATGGGGCCACGAAACGTGTGAGGGGTGTGCCAGAATGGGGGTGGAACCGCATGCGGGCGCAGCCACTGGGGCCTTCGGTGGAGCTCCCTATGGGGCCACGAAACGTGTGAGGGGTGTGCCAGAATGGGGGGTGGAACCGCATGCGGGCGCAACCACTGGGGCCTTCGGTGGAGCTCCCTATGGGGCCACGAAACGTGTGAGGGGTGTGCCAGAATGGGGGGTGGAACCGCATGCGGGCGCAGCCACTGGGGCCTTCGGTGGAGCTCCCTATGGGGCCACGAAACGTGTGAGGGGTGTGCCAGAATGGGGGGTGGAACCGCATGCGGGCGCAGCCACTGGGGCCTTCGGTGGAGCTCCCTATGGGGCCACGAAACGTGTGAGGGGTGTGCCAGAATGGGGGGTGGAACCGCATGCGGGCGCAGCCACTGGGGCCTTCGGTGGAGCTCCCTATGGGGCCACGAAACGTGTGAGGGGTGTGCCAGAATGGGGGGTGGAACCGCATGCGGGCGCAGCCACTGGGGCCTTCGGTGGAGCTCCCTATGGGGCCACGAAACGTGTGAGGGGTGTGCCAGAATGGGGGGTGGAACCGCATGCGGGCGCAGCCACTGGGGCCTTCGGTGGAGCTCCCTATGGGGCCACGAAACGTGTGAGGGGTGTGCCGTCATGTGGGGTGGAACCGCATGCGGGCGCAGCCACTGGGACCTTCGGTGGAGCTCCCTATGGGGCCACGAAACGTGTGAGGGGTGTGCCAGAATGGGGGGGTGGAACCGCATGCGGGCGCAGCCGCTGGGGCCTTCGGCGGAGCTCCTTATGGGGTCACGAAACGTGCGAGGGGCGTGCCAGAATGGGCGCGGGAGGGGGAGGAGGGGGGAGGAAGGGGAAGAGGAGGAAAGGATGAGGAAGGAGGAACGCGGGGCGACGTCTCTTCAAAACGAGGACCCAACACCACTGATAGGGTGGGTCCTTGCCAGGCTGAAACGATGACCAACTCGTCACAACTGCAGATGGTTGGGTCCTTCGCCAGGCTAATTCCCAAACATCATGCGGTGTTGGGTCCTCGTTTTGAAGAAACGGTCCCCGCGTTCTCCCCTCCTCCTCCTCTGCCCCCTCTTCCTCCCTCCCCCTCCGCGTCAGCCACGCCCACTTCGGCACGCCCCTCGCACGCTTCGTGGCCCCATAAGGAGCTCCACCGAGGGCTTCAGTGGCTGCGTTCGCATGGCGGCACCGCACCCACGTCGGCACACCCCTCACACGTTTCGTGGCCCCATAAGGAGCTGCAACGAGGGCTCCAGCGGCTGCGTTCGCATGGCGGCACCGCGCCCATTTCGGCACACCCCTCACACGCTTCGTGGCCCCATAGGGAGTTCCACCGAGGGCCCCAGTGGCTGCGTTCGCATGGCGGCACCGCACCCATTTCGGCACACCCCTCACACGCTTCGTGGCCCCATAGGGAGCCCCACCGAAGGCTCCAATGGCTGCGTTCGCATGGCGGCACCGCGCCCATTTCGGCACACCCCTCACACGTTTCGTGGCCCTATAAGGAGCTCCACCGAAGGCCCCAGTGGCTGCGTTCGCATGGCGGCACCGCGCCCATTTCGGCACACCCCTCACACGCTTCGTGGCCCCATAGGGAGCCCCACCGAGGGAGCGCGCGGGAAGCGCTTGGGAGCGCCACATAGCGCTTCGGTACGCGCCGGGAGCGCCGGGGAGCGCTTGGGAGCGCCGGGGAGCGCCGGGGAGCGCCTGGGAGCGCCTGGGAGCGCCTGGGAGCGCCTGGGAGCGCCAGGGAGCGCTTGGAGCGCATTTGGGAATTTAGGGGCCAGCGGCCCTAAACCCTAAAAGGCTTTAGTTCGGGAGGTCGCCGGCCATGCGGCCCGGGGTGGGAAGATGTTGCAACTCCTGCTCCCTTCGCCAAGCTTGCTCGGGTCGGCGAACCGCCCCCCCAATCAAGCTTGCCGAAGGGGGGGCAGCATTGCCTGGATTGTCGGCCGCTGCGCTAAGAGAAGCCCTAAACCCTAAACCCTAGGCGCTGCGTTCGCATGGCGGCACCGCGCCCATTTCGGCACACCCCTCACACGCTTCGTGGCCCCATAGGGAGCTCCACCGAGGGCCCCAGTGGCTGCGTTCGCATGGCGGCACCGCACCAATTTCGGCACACCCCCCACACGCTTCGTGGCCCCATAGGGAGCTCCACCGAAGGCCCCAGTGGCTGCGTTCGCATGACGGCACCGCACCCAGTTCGGCACACCCCTCACACGTCTCGTGGCCCCATAGGGAGCTCCACCGAGGGCCCCCGTGGCTGCGTTCGCATGGCGGCACCGCGCCCATTTCGGCACAACCCCTTCACGTGGCCCCATAGGGAGCTCTACCGAAGGCCCCAGTGGCTGCGTTCGCATGGCGGCACCGCACCCATGTCGGCACACCCCTCACACGCTTCGTGGCCCCATAGGGAGCCCCACCGAGGGTTCCAGTGGCTGCGTTCGCATGGCGGCACCGCACCCAGTTCGGCACACCCCTCACCCGGTTCGTGGACCCATAAGGAGCTCCACCG